GAATGTCACAATAACATTAAGTGAAGAGTATTCCCTGCTTGAGATGAATATGGTCTCCCACTGAGTGCTGCCCTGTTGTGCTACCCCTGTTTCATAGGTGTCTCTCTCAATAGGCTTTCCTTTTATGATGCTGTTTTCAGAAATGAATTCATCTCTTTAATTTCTTTCTCTGCACTGGCCCCTTCTCCATCTTCAGTATGGTATTCTTGCACTTTGTTGTGCAGAGAAGTGACCAGCATTTCTAAAGTTAAAATTTCCTTATCTGAAAATGTATTTACAGATAGATGCTCATCTCTCTGCACAACCTCCCATCCTTCCTTCCCACTTCCAGTGCATTTCCTCTACTGATCAAGAATAATCCTCTGTTCAAGAGCTAGTGCTCATGGGGATTACTGCACATGGAGGATGTGTCACCCTGTTAATGATGGAGGGCTACAGTCTAATGATGATTATATCATAGACTGGAGCTTTTTCAATACTTGTGGTGTACACTGGAATTTACACAGCAGTGCACATAAGATAATAGCTCTTTTATAAAATAAGTAAGAACATTCAACATTTGAAAAATGCACAATAATTTATTGTATAAGTTAAAAGTAAAATATACTATTAAAAACTCTACATGTGTAGGTGGAAAAAATTCCACCACCTTCAGGAGAACAGGAGAGACACAGGGAATTTCATTTTGTATTTTTATACCAGCAAGTGCATAAGTAGAATTTGCATTTTATATCTTTTTGCACCAGCTCGATCCCTGAGACTGACCTTGTAATCATTTATGGTTGTTATAGTTTTCATGTTAAAACTTTTTAATTAGTAAGCGTATATTAACAAAATTTTTTTTATTAAGTCTTCAGGTTTGGAAAGCAATGTTTTTCTCATGCCTTTTTTTTTCTTTTTACATGTTGCCTATCCAACGTGCAAAATAATTTTTATTTTAAGATTAAAAATAATTTTATACATCAGACATTTTCCAAATTTCACATGCAAAATCTTTATAATGTCCAGATAGTTATTAAATGTTTCTTAAGAAAAAACTTTATATTTTATCTGTTATTTTCAGTAACGAGTCTCTTTACAGGTTTGATATATTTGGCTGATCTTGTAACCACCATAAAAAATTTGGAAATAAATATAAAATATGTCTCTTTCATTCAAGAATGAAGACAAATTATAACACGAAAACATGAATGTTTAGACTAAATAGCTTAAATCTCATAACATTATACATTTATATATATTTATTATTTTTATTATATTGACCTTTCAGCTGTTCCTGGCTAACAACACAGAAATTACAATGACATGGCACATGTGCACTCATGTTATTGTATCCAATAATGTAAAACTGACCTTTAGTCTTTACAAAGTGACCTCTCTTGGCTGTGTGTTAGTAGACTATTATTTTGTAAAACACAGTCACTATTCAATTATTATAAGTTATATATGTATATACATTATTGCTATTTAGAAATAAGTTCTTAAAATTATTTTTCTTAAAACATGGAACAGTAAATAAAGAAGTAAAACAAAATTGTCTCTTCTAGTTATGTTCTTTATACTCAGTTGCTGCTTGACGTAGGTTGCTAAGCCTTTTAAAATTTTGCACGTTGAGGATATTAAATGAAATAATTTTTTTAGGTTTTATACATACAGTTGAATAACCAAAAAATCATAAGTTGTGTTATTGATACCATAGGATTCCACTATAATTTATCAAGCTTAGTAACTAATCTGTATTTCAGTCTAAAAAAATATGAAATTTCAAGATTCAACATACCATGAGACACAAAAATCGATGTTTAACTGTGTTTTTTTAATATTTACTTTTAAATTAAGAAACTGAGTAATGTATAATAATAAAATGTGAATTATAATCTACAGTTTGAAACCAAACTTATTGACATAAATTCATGGAATAGTACTTCTATAAAATTTTGAATGTGAGTCAACAAACGAGATGACATGGCCTTTCACCCGTGACCCATCTGGAAAGGATTATACAGTGCCATCTACAGAATAGATTTCCAAAAATTCAGTTCTGTGGCTCCATGCCCTAGATCTTTTTTTTTATATGTTATTATTCTGTCTTCTTTGGTGCATTATGTAATTTAATAGAAATTAATTTAATGCAGTAGTACGATTAGTTTAAAAAAGTAGGGCTAAGTTTCATTGACAGTCAAGAGCAAAAAAAAAAAAAAAAGACTCAGGTAAGTATGTTATTTCTTGTTTTTAATGTGTATTCTCTATTCATTATTAAGAAAGTAATTAAAATGTAAAAATTGAAAACTTTTTAGGTTAGATAAAATAAAATAATAATTTTTATGAGGTACACTCATTTCGTACATTATGTAATTCAATACCGTAATGTGAGCTGCAAGTTCACCATGTGATTTGCAATTTATGTGGTGCGAGTAGTAGTTAGACATGGTTCAAAGGACAAATATACAATAAAAATTAAGTATAAGGAGATGTATACTGTCACAAGCTTTAAGCTACTTAGTATAAACAATTTTGGTTTTCGGCTACAACCTGCAGTCATTCCAGAAAGAAAATAGGGAAAATTTATAATTATTTCCTAATTTTTTATGGTGGTTATGAGGTATGTCAAATCAACCGACCTCATATAGAGTTAGGGTAAAAAAAATAACAGATAAAATACAAAGGTTTTCAGAAAATAACATTTGCCATTTATTTAGGAGGTTTTAGGTGTTATACAAATAATATTTGAAAATTTTCAGATGAAGAAAAGTATTTTTGATGTTATCATGAAAATTATTTTTCACTCATAAAGGGAAACAACATGCAGTGTAAATTGTAAATAAAGTTTTTTTACTGAACATTAACATACTCTTTTTCCATTTGCATAAGGTAAAAATGTAGTGTACATTGTAAATAAAGTTTTTCATTGATACGGAAGTGCTCCCCCCCCCCTTTTGAGGTTATTAAATTTTATCTGTGGGACCCTTAAGAATCTTACTGAGACTCTTGAAAAAAGAAGTTGAGAGTCCAGCACCCTTTGCTGTGTGAACCTAGTGAGAACATTGCTACAATACAAACACTGTAAGTTATTTATATTTAGATTGTTGAAATTTTTAAAGAAGACAACACCATACATTAATCATATTATGTTGTTATTTAGCTCCCAGTTCACAGATGGTGTACTTATCTATCAGCCATATTAGTATTATTGGTAGCTTTTCAATACCATGTGAGAACAACTCAAAATTATTATTATTTTGTAATATGGAATTATTAGGTATAACGTCTATGGAAAACAACAATATTCTATGATGAAACTTTGTAGAATGGATGGCAACTTCCTATGGTACAGGACGATGTTTCAAAAGTCTTCTGCCTTTGTCTTCAGGTTGGGAGTTTAATTAATAGAAATATTAGGGTGGCGTCATTTCAGTTCATTTCTACTTTAAAAAATTTAAGGGTAACTGCCTTCCCATAACTGGCTATAGATTGTAAAAGGCAGTGGAAGCCGAGACATTGTGGGTGTAAGCACTCGGCTTCGTACCATTATTTGATTGATTTTTTATGATTTTCCATGATGGCTGACCATATTGACATTGGTGTTTGGATTTTTCTGATAGACGGGATATCCTCAATGCATTTGGGTCCTATTACCACAGACATCTGTTATGACAATAAGTTGACAACCTGGACCGATAACGTTAATGTAATATATAAAATAAAAAGAAGTGTGTTTCTCTGCAAAACATGTAATGTAACAAATACATGTGGAAACTCAAGCCTGAAATTGAAAAGTGTTATTTAAAAGAAGTAATTGTTGATCATATATTTAATTGAAAAATAGAGCAACTATATAGGATAATGTGTTAATTTATGTTAAACATGTGTATACCTAACTTTTAAATGAGATTGAACTAAAGTTAAGATGTTTAATCTTAATAAACACACACAATCATAACCTTTTGGTTTAAAATAAAGTTTTGTTTTCCAGAATTCACTGAAAAGCAGTGCTACAAATACAAGCTATTTCATTTTACACACGTTTCCAAATCTAAAATTAAGCAATAGAAGAGAAACATTTTTATGAACATAATTATTATTCAAGTCACATCCATTTTCAAGAATATTTAGATTTCAAATGTTACTTCAGTAGTGAAGTAGAGCCATTTTTAAATACCTAAAGAACAAAACAAATTTTAAACTTACATTAGATACTCATAATACCTATGGCTTAATATTTAGAGAAATTTTCCATAAGAATAATTGTCACATATACTTTCAATATTTTTTTACAGCCATTATTAACAAAAGAAAGAAACTAAATGTACACTTACCTTATATTCAAGTATTAGGATACAATAAAGGTTTGAAAGTCTAATTCTGTAGTTTGACCATACTTAAGATGTTTTATTTTGGCAAAAGTATGAATCCAGATCCAAACCTTAAGAAAGGATTTCAGGACCATACACATTGCTTAAAGTTATTTGTCAGTATATTTGAACATTTAAGTTAAGATGTTTTGAAGAAGCATTCATGGATAAAATTTTGACTGCTGTGGAGAAAGCTGCATAAAACATTATTTGAAATACTTTGAAGTAAGTAACTATATATCATAGCATAGACTAGGTAAAAGCTTAGGATTAAAAATATGTTGTTTTAATATTTGTTGTTTGCTTGATATATGTGTAAAAATGTTGTATTCTTCAATGCATACATACATATATATCAGTTTTTGGAAGTATGTATAGAAATGAGCATTTAATATGAAATGGATTTGTATTAAACTTGTATAATGACACTGGTAATAACAGGTTTACATATTATTGAAAAAGATAGTGCTGTTATAAACATTTTTCTGTTTATATTTTAGAACTTTTTAACATGTTATGAAAATAAGGTGCTTTTGTCTGCTTAAGCTTTTCTTAGTAATTATTACATTAAAAGCTTAAACATTTATGTTTCTTTGTATTAAATACTTAGTAGTTTTAAACAATATTGCATTTTCATTTCACTTGCAGCATGTGATTACAAATGAACATGTTTTGAGTATGGTTAGGAATACCATGCGATCTGAAGAAGGAGTTGACAGTGAAATAGAAGAGGCTGTGTATGAACCAAAGTTGACACGTTCAAAAGTTAAGGAATTGAGAGAAAAGCAAGGAAATGTGAATATTTATTCTTGATTGTGTATTTATTTTAAAATGCTAAACAATAATGCCATAAAAACTTTGAATTAAGTATTATTCTAGATAAATGTTAGGTATATTTTATGCAAAATCACTATAACATAATGGAAAACTAAATGTATCTGTGGAATGTAGTGTACCATCCTCTTATGATTTTTAGGTTATGTATTATTTTGTGAACCTTAAGTTTTCCTGATTCTGCGCATTATAGGAAATGTTTAGCTTTATTATGAAATAAGAAAAAAAAGTTAAAAATTGGAAAAAATGAAAAGTGAGTAATAACATATTTTTACTTCATCAAGTTAAGTATTATGGCTGTGTTAAATCTAGAGCTAGGCAATTATTGTGTAGCTTTGTGTTTATCAACAAACAAGCATAATTACAATATTTGGATTATTTGGGTAGCTTGAAGAATCAGAAACCGTAATTTCAGTTAGTTGGTTACTTCCCATATGATACTTACCTCCTTTCACAGTTACAGCTATTCTTGATTTGACTGTCCTCTAGTGCTCAAATTTTCTCTTTCCACTAGCCTTGAATTCCCACCTAATTCCACATGTTTCAACTACATTTAAGTGTGCAAATTAGCATGTGATAAACCTCCACCAGTAGTGACTGTGTTAATACCTAGTGCTGGATTTTTTCTCAGGCACAATTTGTCCCTTACAACACTCCTTCATCATTTTTCATTGATCCACATGTTTCATGAGGCTTTCCATTGTTCTCACAAGGGTTTTTTTGTCAGTATTCTGCACACTCCTACTCACGACGTTGTCCAGATTGTCTTCGTCTACCCTGCCCCTTCACAGTTGGTTCCTGTGATGCTGAAATCTCTTGGATCAGGATGCATTATTTGCACTTCTTTGAGGGATCTTTGTGTAGATTCTTTTCTTCAATCTATGGTGTTTGTTGGGCTGTCAGACACTTTGGAGTCTCATGTGGAATCCACCAGATCACACACTTTCCTGTCTTCCCATACTTTCTGGTTGTCCCACCCTCCTCCTTCCTTTCTTTTACTAGTTCCTCATTCCTGAACCATGTCTATATAATGTACAACTGTTCATCAATGTCTTGCTAGGCATCAGTGATACTGGTGACTACCCTGTGGTTTCAGGTCCAGTGGGTACCAGACTAGTTCATTTCTCCGGGGTGTAGTAGAACCTTACCAACAATCCATGGGTTCTTCAAGTTTTGTTAGAAGGACCCTCCCTTCTTTTCCTCTCACCTTCTCCCTTATTCCCTATACTGGCCCCCTCCTTCAAGATACTGTCTTGTGCCAGTGGTTCAGCAAATTCTCATCAAATGTGCCATCAAACAGGTTTTTCCTGTTCTTCCAGGATTTTATTCCTGACTTTTTGTCGTCCTCAAGAAGGCTATGGATTGGTACTCTGTCATTGATCTCTCTTGTTTTAATTGCTTTCTCAACATCCCTTGTTTCACCATGGAATCCTACCTGGCTTACAGATGTGCTTTTTTTCCCAGAGCTTTGGATGGTGAGATTCAACATGTCTGATGCTTATCTCCACATCATTATTGCTCGGGCTTCACATTGTTATCTACAGTTTGTTCATGAGGTTCACATTTATTGATTTTAAGCTCTTCCTTTTGGGCTGGCATCGGCACCTTACGTTTTCTGTTGGGTGGTCTGGTTGTTTGCCTGGTTTTTACCATCTCATTGGCTCAATTTTCATCATTATATGGACAACTGGCTTCATCTGGCTCCATCTTTCACAGAGCCTCCACTAACCGAACTTCTCAGGGAAGCTGCTTAAGTGGGCTGGATTATCAAAGTGGAGAAATCCATTGTCACCTCTACTCAATAACTTGTTCACCTGGAGAGGATTTTCAACTCCCACCTCAGTAGACCCCAACCTTCTCGAACTCTGCAAGCTGTGGAATTTTAGTTCAGTGCACGATCAAAAACTCTTCTCCCTGCTCGAGAGGTTCTGTCTCTCTTTTGGGGACTTGGGCATGGCTGGAGGCTGTTATCCCTTTGGGCCATACCCACATGTGTGCTTTACAGTAGGTACTACAAGATTAATGGAACCTCGCCAGAAACCCTCTGGATTTCCAGATTTTCCTTCCTGTTTCCTTTCAGTCCAACTTCCTATGGTGATTAGACAGGGATAACACTACAGTGGGGGTACTTATTCCTCTTCCTCGTCCAGATATCCATGTTTTTACAGCCACCTCATTGTCATGATGGGGGTAGGGTGGCTACTGCAATACCCAGGAGATCTCAGGCCTTTGGTTTCAAGGTGAGTTAGGTCTTCACATCAACCATTTAAAACTCCTTGCTGTTCATCAAGTGATGGTTAATTTTTTTTCATGCCTCCGAGGCATGGCAGTGATGATTCATTCTGACAACTCGACGGTTGTCTCTTACATCACCAGACAAGGGGGGAACTCAATCCCAGTCCCTATGTTCCCATACTCTGGATCTCTTATTTTCTGGGCTTACAGTCATCAAATTTGTTTAGTGGCTTGTTACATACAGGGTGCCCTCAGTCTTGTTGCAGATTGTTTGTCACATCCCAATAAGATTCTAACTATGGAGTGGTCTCACAACCATCTGGTATTCAAATGGCTATGTTCTCAGCTGGATACTCCACAACTGGATGCATTTGCAACCCTTTTGAATACCAAATTTCCTCCTTTTCAATCCTCAGTTCCACATCCTTTGGCTGTCACTGCTCAGGCAAGAGTGGAAGGATCTTTTCCTATATGCTTATACTCCCATCTGTCTCCTGCTCTGTGTAATTTCTCTCATCCAATTGCCTCCATATTGAGTCCTTGTGTCTCCTTTTTGGCCAGAACAATTGTGGTTCCTGTCCTTTCTCAAGGAACAACCTCCATTACCTCTTCCTTTCTCCCGATCCCTCCTCCAACAATCTCACTCAAAGGTGTTTCACCCCTCTGTTCCCACTCTCTGGCTTCACTCACAGTTTTGGCCCATGTGTCTCCATCGTCTTTCTCGTACCATTCACTTGCTGTATTAGAATCTAAATGTAGTTCTCTATGTTCTTTCCCTTTCTTCCTTCGAATTGTTTGCATCATATTCCTTATACCACCTTTCCTTAAGGACGAATTTTCTTCTCTTGTTGGCTTGTGGATGTTGCAGGTCAAACTAGTTGGCCATCAGTGTCCACTGCATTTTGTTACACAAAACCTATGTTCTTTTGTATCATGACATCTGTTTCTTCCCCAAAACATCAGCTTCCTGTGAAGGTAATTTCAGCTTCACTCCTATTTCCCTTCCATCCACAGGAGGATAGTCATGCCATCTAAACAGGCAGAATACCAATTCCCTATTCTCAACTGAGAGGAAGTGTGCACATTCGGGAAGATTCCTCCATGATCCATCACCCCATCAGCTAGGAGCCGGTAAGTGGTAAGGATTTCCATACTCCACTGGAAGAAGATTGGAGGAAATGCATTGAAGAGTTCGGAGGAAGGAATCACCGAAGAAAGTGCAATGGGTGGCCACAAAAACCCTATTTTGAAAAGCAGACTGTTCCTGATTCCGGTAATCAAAGGAACATTGACCATCCAATTACAGTCAGACATGCCCTAGCCATTCTAAGCTCATTTCTCTTACTTTTGGATTTGAGATGGATAACTTTTTCTGACCTTTGTTTGTAACACAATGCCAGTTGGCTCCACTTGAACAAAGAGTATATCTGGTACAGATGTGGTATGGACTCCCATGAGTGTGTTTCCTCTACATAGAGGTGGCACACTCCATTGGTATTCTTCAGATGCTTTTGAAGGGCGCTCATCTAGTTAATTTTCAACTGGCTTCTTCACCTGCTTAATATGGGATTCTATCTTTAATTGAAGATATATTTCCGACAGACACTTACCTTCGCTCATTCTTCCCACTCGTCCTTCCCACTTCTGGTGTTGTTTTTTGTGCCTGATCTTGAAGTGAAGATTGGGTTCAAACTGCACAGAGAGAGAGTCAGCTGCAATAGGAGGGTGTGTTCCACTCCTATTGGTGGAGGGTTGTCACATGCTAATTTGTATGCTTAAATGCAGCTAATTCATGTCAAGTTAATCCTAATTTCTAATACTGAATAGTAGGAATAACCTAAAGCAAGAATGAACAAAAATACCAGTTGATTGTTTGCATGACCTTAATTGATTTAATTGTAATTTCAGTTAATCGATTATTTTACATGATGCAAATTGATATAATCATTGATTATAGTGAATCTATTTATCACGTTAATTGATCAACTCTAGCTTTATGGCTGTTACTGTTCATGTGTGTCAGTTTCTTTTGTTTTAAGAAATTGTTGGTACTTAAATACATGATGGTATTATTTGAACATTTGATCTTGTGAGGCTTCAGGTGGGGCATTATATTTCACAAATTTTTACTTTTACATTAAGAAAATTTTTCTTCCATATTGCAAATTTGTTTTAGCTTTCCTGGGCCTTCTCTCCAATAAAAACCTCTTCAATGTCCAAAAAACTTCTAGAAGATGATTTTTCAGATGATGATTCATCATTAGATGGTGAATATAATCCTGGAATTGAAATGGTGAGTTATAATTTTTTCCTGCATTGTTGATTTTTTTGTGTAGTAGCCTGAATTGTTTCAGTTGTTGCTGATTTGCTGTGAAAATTCATTTTATTTAATTTTTCTTCTTATTTATGTAGAGGCTTTTCTGTTATAGTATGAAAATGTGTAAAATATAACATTTTACTTGCAGTGACTATTTCAAACAAATTCATCGTAGTAATGAAAGATAGTGTACATACATATACTTGTTTAAGCTAGAATAAATTTTATTTCACACCTTTCTTGAAAATAGTTCTTGACATTTGACAAATTGAGGGATGTAGAACAATGTTAATATTAACTCATATTTTGTATTAAATATCTAAAGAAATTCTACAAAATAAATCTTGCATTGGATTGAATTTTATGTTTTTAACTGTTCCATATGATGTCCATTGGTGTGATTGAAATTGTGACCACAAAATAACCATCAGAGTTTCCTTACTATACCTTTCAGTAAACATTACAATTTTTTTTTTTAATACAAATAATCAGTTTTTATAACTGAGTAATTTTTACTACAGATTTGTTTGTGAATATATGGACTCAGAATATTGACTGCTCTGACTGCAAAGTGGTTTCATTTTAACTCTTTTCAGCGTGAGTTTGGTCCCTGGAACTGACCTGGAACCATTTTGTGCTTGTTATAGTTTTCATGCAATAACTTTTAAATTAGTAAGCATATGCTAACACAATTTGACAGATTATCAGTAAACATTATAATGCTTTCATAAGCAAAATATCAATTTTTTTAAGTCGTAAGGTTTGTAAGGCAATGTTTTTCTCATGTCTGTTTTTTCTTTTCGCATGTTGCTTATCTAACATGCAAAGTAATTTTCGTTTTAAGATTAAAAATACTTTTATTTATCAGAAAATTTAGAAATTTCACAGGCAAAATCTTTATAATCTCCAGATAGTTATCAAATGTTTCTTAAGAAAAAAATATATTTTATCTGTTACTTTCAGTAACAAATTTCTGTATGGGTT